GCTTGTCCTGCTGCACCTCCCCCGCTGCCACCTCTTCCTCACGCAGCCAAATCCCCTGCGGACAGGTTTTGCGGAGACGACATCATCTGAAGGAATGGGGGCTTAGTGAGGAGGGAAACAGCTGGAATGGGGGCTTAGTGAGGAGGGAAACAGCTTCAAAGCTCTTTTCAAACCATGGCACCACCTCTGCCTCCCAAAAGTTTAAGAATAGTGATTGTTGTTACTGCCCAATGCCTGTATTTCTTCAGCACCAAGATTCGAAGGGCATGACACACGGCAACACTGTTCTGACAAACCCTGGACAGTATTTTTTAATGGCAATCAGGGGTAAGCTACTTCCTTACATTTCTGTGGATCCACGAAATTGTGAAGGCACAGCTAAAGAAAATATTTAACCTTATTGTGAGTTCAGTCCGTGCTTGGCTGGGTCAGATAATGCAATGCTGTTATTCCTTGATGATGGAAGTGTTTAGCTAACATTGTCTCTTTTAGCAGGAGAAAGCAATTATAAAGTTACATCATCATTGATGCAGTTCTGTCATCTATTTGCACGTCTTCTCTCATTCCCAAACTCCATCAAGGCTAGAAGGCTTGGGAGGCCTTCAGGGTTTTGCGTCCGTGTGTGTACCCTAAGGAAATCATGAGTGCATATAGAGATGAGACCTAGATGCATGCTATTCCCAGCCTCCTCCTGGTTTTCCCTGATGGAAAGCCACTTAAGAGCCAGCCTGGACGATACCAGCCCTGGAACCCTGGGTACACAACATGCTCCGATCCAGAGGTACGCATCAACACAGCCTGAGGCGATACAAATGGGTAATAACCGTTCAGCATTACTGAAGGAAAGGCTGAAACAGCATCGGTTGCAATGGTGCACTCGGAACTCTTCACACTGTTAGGGTACGGACATTTCCAACAATATTCAGAACAGCCAAAAAGCTGGAGCAAGGTGTTATGCCGGTCTTACCCTCTCTGTCTTGCAGCAACACCTCAGCAGCTAAGCCCGTGGTGTAACTGAGAGGTTGCAGCCTCCCAGATGGTGACAGCAGCATGCAAGACTGCACCGTGAGTGAAATAATAACAAAATGAATACAAAGTGTAGTTGATGCGGGACAATAAACCGAGTGAGTGTACTAAGTCATGACACAACTGGTGTGCTTATATAATCGATTGCTAGCTCCTCCCTAAGAACACAAAAGAGGAGGGACCAATGTAATTTGCTGGTTATACGGGCATTATTTGGTAACTCGGGCAGCTCCTTGAGGCTCTGATTCTTGTCAGATTTAGCAGCAACAACTACCAATGCTCCTGCCCCCGCAACTGAAGCCAGCAGGAACCATAAATCAAAGTCTCTAGATAGTCACACTTGGTCTGTCAACGTAAACCACAGTAAGTGGCGGTTTGTCGTCACACGTCGAGCTGTAATACATCAAGCGGGGCGCAGGCCGAGAAGCTGGCGCACCGGCTGTTTGCTGAGGGACGGCAACCTCCAGCAGATGGGCTGAGCGGACAACTGGCTGCGCTAACCCCTTTAGCTGTGGTGGCAGAATCTGATCAGGACCCCGTCGTATTAGGGGTTTTTTGCCTGTAACAAGGGGCGTGACTTCCATTCATCCTGGGAAGGCTGATGTGGGAAAGCTTGTTTGTCAAGAAATGGCCGACGCTTAGGTTCTTCTCAGAGCTAGGCAAGGAGAACAATTGCACATGTGGGCCGACACTGACAAACTTTTCCTCATTGCCAGATGTTGTCGGTGTCCAGTATTAATGTTTTTTCATTGTCAGTCTAAGGTCAAACGGTCCATCTCCAGCAAATTGGGTCATCAGCCTCTTCAGGGAGGAAGGGCGTCTGATGCTGAAAACCTTAGTGGGCTGTTAAAGAAGTTAAGGGACTTTTCTTTCCCCCTTCCAGGGCGTAGCACAAATTGAGGAGGAACACTAAGACGATTACCGCTGCTTTGCAGTGCATCTCAATTATGCCCTAATTAGTATCGAGAAAAATGTGGCAAAGGCAGCTTAAAGCGGCTGCAGGGGTTTTATCTTCAGCCGCTTCCTAGCCTGACATCTGCAGCTGTTAAATCGCACAAGAAAGAAATCCTAAAGGGGGAAAAAAAAAAAAAAAGTATAATCGGTCAAGGAGCTTCTTCCAGCAAGTGGCATCTTCGGGCTGGCTAATTAGGAAAGGTTTGGGCATGCCGGCTTATTTTAGGAACAGCCCGTGTCTCGGGGAACTCGGCTGTTTCCGTGCGGTCCCCGGGCAAGAGCTACCAGCCCTCCGAATTCCTGGGCAGTAAAGGCCTGCAGAAAACCCCAAAGAAGCGGAGCAATCACCTTGGAGACCCTCGACCAGAGCGCGGGGGCCGTTCCTGCCCGGCCCCTCACGGCTGCGCCAAACAGCGTTCCAAGCTACCGAGAAGCTGCCCG